TGACCACACCAGAGCTCAGCTGGGATGAGCTCTATTCCACATGCAACCCTTGTCCATCTGACAATAGCCAATCCAACACCAACACGCCTGTTTCTGACAACTGCCAACACGCCTGTTTTTGAACAACGCCAAAACACGCCTGTTTCTGGCAACTGCCAAAAACGACTGTTTCTGAACAAGGCGAAAACACGCCTGTTTCTGAACAACTGCCAAAACGCCTGTTTCTCAACAACTACCAACAAAGTAGCCTGTTCATGCCTCGTACATTCCCCAGCCAATCCCGTCAATATAAACGCGCCTCGTTGTGGGCCTCGACGTGGATAAACAAAACTTGGGCGTCAACGTAGAAACAACACGACCTGCGGTTTTGCCTTTACAAAGATAAATACCACATAGCAGCCAACATGGAACGGCCACGAGGCTCCAGGCTTGCTCAACACCAGCTTGCTCAATACCAGCCTGCTCAACACCAGCTTGCTCAACACCGACCACGAGGTCCCGGGCTTGCTCAAGACCAGCGCGTCGACCGTGGTAATACGGTAAACTTCGACGACGACGACGACGACAAGGACGATATCATGGCCGGCCACCCAGACTACCGCCACCACTGCCTTGAGGAAGCCCGTATTAGATTCCGGCATTCGCATATCCAGCTTCCCGATACCGAAGACCATCATCTCAATCATATGAGCTCTAAGTTAGGTGGGGGAGTAAGCGAACGCCACTGATCCAGAACATTCTAGATAAGCGAGGAACACAACCAACCCTCTTATATAAAAAGCCCATAACTCAACCAATTCTTTTCCAATTCTCTTCATCTTCAATTCGTTTTATTCTTCTCTTGACAATGGTTTCATATACAGAAGAAGACCTCCGCAAGGCTTGCGAGGAAGCAGTCAGAACACATCGATTACGCAAAGTCGCGCGAAAATGGAACGTTCCACCTTCCACCCTTTATGGCCGTCTACATGGCTCCCTACCTCGAAATGTTGCTCATCAAGATGAGCAAAGGCTTACACAGACCCAAGAGGATCGTTTAGTCGAATGGATTCTTCTTCAACAAGATTTAGGATTGCCCCCTACACATGCACAGATCAGGGAGCTTGCACGCCGTATTCTAGCTGAAAGGGGGGACTCCTTACCACTTGGAAAGGGGTGGTGCCGTGCCTTTCTTAACCGCAATCGAATTTTGAAGACTCAGAGGGCCAAGAGAGTCGATTCGGTCCGCGTCAACTGCGCTACAGAGTCAACAATTCGACCTTGGTTCAACCATTTCCAAACACCAGCTATCAAGGCGATTAAGCCAGAGAATCGCTGGAACAAGGACGAATCTGGTATTATGGAAGGCAGAGGAACCAACGGCCTTGTCATTGGAAGCCGTGCCTTTAAGGCGCTTCAAAAAAAACAGCCTGGAACCCGCACTTAGACCACTTTTGTCGAATGCATCTCAGCAGCTGGCCGTTGCCTTCCTCCTTTGGTCATTTTTAAGGGGAAAAGCGTTCAACAACAATGGTTTCCTTTGGATATGAAGCCATTTCAGGATTGGTTCTTTACAGCAACTGAGAAAGGATGGACTACCGATGAGACAAGCCTCAAATGGTTAAAAAATGTGTTCATTCCTCTCACCAAGCCAGCAAACTCCTCTGAGAAACGACTCCTTATTATTGATGGCCATGGCAGCCACACAACTGCCGATTATATGTGGGAGGCATTCACAAACAATATTCACATTATTTATCTGCCTCCCCATACTTCCCATGTCCTCCAACCCCTAGATTTGGCCATATTTGGCCCCCTAAAACGACTTTATCGCAGACGGCTTGAGGACCTTCTTGCTAACGCCTTTGACGACTCTTCTGTAGCCGGAAAACGTGCGTTTCTGGAATGCTACCAGATTTCACGCACAGAGGCAATTACTAAGAGTAATGCTAAGTCAGGATGGAAGGCATCAGGCCTTTGGCCCTTGAATGTCAACAAACCGCCAAGAAGCCCACTCCTCCTCAAGAATTCTAATACTTCACGCCCCTTAAGAACTACTATAGTTACCCCAGAGGTTCGCACACTCCGTATGCCAATCCTGGAGGATTATGGAGACGATCGGGTGCAGTGGAGGACTCCTAGAAAGGCACGTGATTACGTTGAGCAGGCAAAGAAGTTCGCACGCATCATCAAAGCAATGCCAGCGGATAAGCTCTTCCTCAGAAAGATTGGTAAGGCTTTGGATGAACAGGCCTTTGAACTAGCTATTAGGAAGCGAAAGATTGAAGGTCTAGAACACACTCTCGAATCAATAAGAGCCAGAAAGAAGAAGAAGGTTGAAGAAGATCCAAATACCACCTTTGCGAATATTCAGACTATTCGTGAGGCCCAGAGAGCTGTAGGGCGTGCAGCAGAGGTTTTAGAAGATGCGGAAGAAGCGGATGATTCAGAGGATATCAAAGATTGTATTGAAGTTTTGTAAATAAAAAGATCACCCTTTCTTTTGTTGGAGGGTTAGTTGGGACTCCTGCTTATACAGAATGTTCTAAATCAGTAGTGTTCGCTTACCCCCCTACCTAACTTATTAAGCTGGCATCGTCAGGGATGTGGTGGTGGTATGATGGTACTTTGAGATACCTTGTAGCCTAACGACTTTCTTCTTGTGTAGGTACTGCTAGGTAAGCAGTCTCTTTTTGTCAACCGCTTGACAGAGTAGACAGGCACACTGCCAGCCACCGCTGTCATTCTCCCACTGCCCTTGTGCCACATACCTTGGACAGAGTAGACAGGCACTGCCACAGCCCCCGCTGTCATTTTTTCCCACTGCCCTTAGACCACGACCTTAGACGAGTAGACAGGCACAACTACACAGCCCGGCAGCAGGCAACATGTGACGAACCTGGTTCGTACTGGACCAGCTGCAGGAAGCGGGCGCCTCAGGCATGACTGGGGACCCCGCTCGTCGCTTGAGCCAGTCAGACGGTGCCCGGTGCCAAGAGGGCTCTTGGCACCAGGCAAACGGAAGGACGGCCAATCAGAGGTGGCCCGGTGCCAAGAGGGGTCTTGGCACCAGGCAAATGGCCCGGCACGCTAGCAGTGCCCGGTGCCAGGCAGCTCCTTCCTGCCGGGCAAGTAAGAGCTGTGCTCTTACTGGCCCGCCACAATTAGATAAATACGATGACCGTGCCCACGGTCTTAGATAGTTCTTGCTTGGTTCTTCAAGCAAGCAATACACATTCACTGCACTCATACACTTTGAGTGGCATTCCGATTTGACTGTATTACCCGTGCGATAGGAGCTTGCCCTTTGTTCTATCTTCATAATTACCAACCTCAGCATCCTGTGGAGCCTGTGCTCCCTTACAGACAGACGACCCTAACAGTCGAGTGGTTTGTAATACAACAGCTACCGGCACAGCGGGCAAGACCTAACGCCGTCGCCGGACTGAGCCGTATTAGCCGAGTCCGCTCAACCGACGACACCTCTGTCTTGACATTTACAAAACGATGCTCAACCGAGTCGGCACCTCTGTCTTGACATTCACAACGATGCTCAACCGAGTCGGTACCTCAGTCTTGATATTAAAAATGATGCTCAACCGAGTCGGGCATTTTCTACCTTGATTTCTCCCAGTCTGACTTTCACAGTCTGACTTTCACAGAACCACTACTAGCACCGCAGATAGCACCGCACCATAGGCAGAGCCGGCTGTCAGCCAGACGTCCGAGCCGTTCAACCGCGGATTTCTCGCCTCTATTTAGTATCGTCCGTCTTGACCGATTCCAAATAGAGTACCATTATGTTATTCTATTATATCAGTCTTGACTAGAGAATATTTCCGTCTTGACTAACTCTGTCAAGCTCGGCAGCTCCTTAACCAGAGAGTATTTCCGTCTTGACCGACCCCGTCAAGCTCGGCAGCTCGCCCGCACGTCTCGCCACTGCCCGCTGTAGAACTAGATCTGCCCGCCGTAGAACCACTGCCCGCTGCAGAACCACATCTGCCCGCCGTAGAACCACTGAACTAACCGCCGTTTCTATATTCTAAGCTAGTGGTAAAGACTTGCCCTTCTCCGACTGAGTTCCAGTCCAAGAGTCCAAGCCCAAGAACCCGCACACCAGCTCACGTCCACTATCGAGTCAAGCTGCCGCCTCTAGCTAGCACCACAATGCCAGCACGCCTACACCCACTGCACCGACAGCAACACCCACACCGACAGCAACACCCACTGCACCGATAGCAACACCAATCCCACCGTGCACAACATCGGGAAGGTGCGATGCGCAAGGACCCACCTGGCCCGTGCGCAACGCCCGCCGCACAACCGTACACCCTCACACAACCACAACCACACGCACACAACGACAACCACACACGCACACAACCACGACCACACACAACCACAACCACACGCACACAAACACACACGTACACAACCCAGCACACGCACACCAACGGGTGCCACCAACAACGGGTATACACCAGGTACACAGCAACAATAGCCGAGTATACAGCAACAGCGGGTGCACAACAACGGTCGGGTACCACCAACAGCGGGTGCGTAATAGCCGGGTGCACACCAGCCGGGACAGAACTCTGCGGCTGGCACATCGGGGGGCACATCGGGCGGCACATCAGGCGGCACATCGGGCCGTGGCACATGGGGCCCGCGAGCAACGCCAGCATCCGGGTGTGCGCAGAACTCGCAAACGGTGGAATCGAGCAACAACCGTGTCATCTCCGGCCGAGTCAACCTGGTAAGAGTCGACCTGGTAAGAGCCAACCTGGCAAGAGTCAACCTGACAGCATCGTCAGAGTCAACCTAACATCGTCACTCGACCTTAGACAAGTATATATTCGCCGTGCCTTTCTTCACACACATAGTCCGCAACAGTTCTTCACACCGCATCAGTCCACAAGAGGCCTTCCATCTCAGTCCACAACACTCGGCTGCAGCTCCCTGTCCCGTCGCTATTCGTGGCAGCTAAGAACCAAGCATGGACCAGCCCCAGGCAAGGTATGTTGCTCCAACTCGTCCCCGTGCTCCGTCTCATCGTGCGCAGCGTCTCGGCCAAGCAGCGGTGGCGAGCCCTGCTCAGCCGGCTCGCACCCATGAGCAACCGCCGTCGCGGCAAGCGGCCCGACACGCGCACGCCGAAAAGCACGCCCGCCCTCAAGCGCACGCCGTCCGAGATTGCCGACGACGCCACCGTCGACACGGGCACGTGGCTCAGCACCTCGAGCCCGCCCGTGGTCGCCGACTGCGGCCGCTGCATCGCGTCGTCGAGCCGCCACCCGCCGGGAGATAGCGATTGGAAGGGAGATGGCGAGGGGAAGGGGGATGGCAAGGGGAAGGGGGATGGCAAGGGGAAGGGGGGCAAGGGGAAGGGGGGCAAAGGGAATGGGGATGGCAAGGGGAAGGGGGATGTGGGCTGTATCGCGTCGTCGAGCCGCCACCCGCCGGGGGGGGAGGTGAATGGGGTTTATATCAAGCCGTCCGAGCCAACCGCTGTCGAGGCCGGGAAGGGAGATGTCCATGTCAAGCCGTCCGAGCCAACCGCACCTGAGGCCGAGAAGGAACTCGAAGAGGTGCCTGAAGTGCCTGAGGAGCCTGTCGTTATCGAAGAACCTGTTGCCGTCTTTGTGGAGGATGGCGAGAGCGAGGAGAATGTTGCCGTCTTTGTGGAAGATGGCGAGAGCGAGGGGAATAGCGAGGGCGAGGGGGATATGGAGGGAGATGGCGACCGCGAGGGGAATAGCGACGGCGACAGCGACGGCGACAGCGACTTGCTCGAGGGCTTCTACCAGTACTGCGGCGCGTCGTTCGAGCGGGCGTGCCGGCGCTAGCGTGTGGGTGTCAATCTGTGTCAGTCTGTGGGTGTTAGTCTTTGCGGTTCTGTTTTAGTCTGTCAGTCTTTGTCTGTCAGTCTTTGTCTGTCAGTCTTTGTCTGTCAGTCTTTGCTGTTCTGTCTTAGTTTGTCAGCCTTTGCTGTCTTGGTCTGCTAGTCTGTGCCAGTCTGTCTGTGGTCTGTCTTGGGCCTGCCAGTCCATCTGCCAGTCTGTCTGCTAGTCCATCTTGCTATCTAGCTGTTAGTTAGCTACTAGTCTGTTTCGCTGGAACTCGCTCGACAGATGCTGTGCTGGATTTGTCAATGTCAGTCTGTCTGTCAGGTCTGTTATCGGCCGTCGCACGCTGTGCTAGTGTTGTCAATGTCTGTGTCTGCCAGTGGTGGTCAATCTTGGCTGTCCTGTTTCGTTGGGATCATCTTGTTGGTTCGCCCTTCCAGGCCAATCGCCGACCCACACCCACCCACCACCCACACACCCACACACACCCACCCATGGGAACAAGCTTTCGGACTGCATGTGCTGGCTGTTGCTGCTGCGTCTCAGCGCTCGCAACAATGCAAACAAATATGCCCGGCACCCGTATTTGTATTTGATTTGCAAAGTGAGGCCATGTTTGAGGTTTTCCAAGATATATTTGAGTTATTTATATTATTTAGAAATATTCCGGCCCGGGTAAACCCCGGCATAGAAAAACCCTGGCAGCCGAGACGTAGGTGAGGGTGTCGTAGTAGTCATGGCCGCCAAGGTACGTATTTGGGAAGCCTTGGACCTCTGTAGGGACTTTGGGGACCTCGATATGGGGGTAATGCCAGTCGAAGAACGCAGTTACTAGGGCCATGATATCGAGGACCTGTTCATCAGGTAGGTACTTCACAATCCACTTGTCCTTATGCCTAGGGTGCAGAATCATCGAGACCCAGTAAACCGGTGTAATTTCCAACCTCTTGATGTATTTCTTGAGCTTCTCAATTGAGCGATTAAGGCTTTGAGCCAGGAAGACCTCACTTTCGCCGGCCAGAGGAGGCTCGGGCGCGGCGGCAGGCTTGGGGTGTGGTAGGCGAATATTACCGGCGATTGCGACTTCGGGGGGCATCATCGAGCCGGCCCTAGATCGGCGAGGAAGACTGGCTTCGTGACCCCGTAGGCGGGCAGTTGGCCGGGTCGCTCGTTGCGTTTGTCTTGGTGTTGCGGGCGGCTCTGCAACGACCATTTCTTCTCGTGCCGGGGCAGGTGGCGGCGCCAGGGCAGGACCCGGGCGAGCCGGTGCATAGGCGAGCCTTCGATTAGAAAGCTCTTCAAGTAATACATAGTAGAGATAACCTCACAGAAGAGTGGCTTCCTGCATTCGAAGCGCTTAGTGATGACTTTGAAGGGCTCCTTGAGCTTCGCAATTGAGCGATCAAGGCTTTGAGCCAGAAAATATGCCAGTCTGCCAGTCTTCGGGGCTCAACACATGGGCAACAAGAACTCTTTTTGGCGGGTCAGGGTTTTGCAACGACTGGAAGGTCCAGTAATCTAGCACATCGCGAATCCGAATTGCCCTCTCAATCATGGAATAGAGTTCCATCGAGTACTGTCATCAGCTCGAAGTTGAAACCCGATTAAATCATCGTCAAAGAAAACCTGATCACCAATAGCCTCAAGCTCCTCGGCGCTCAGCCGCCTATTGGCGACGTCGAGGAAGGAATCCCGGCGTTGAGGGTTATAGCGAACATGTGTACGAGGTCATCAAGTTTACTGACTGGCCCGTTTTTACGCCATTCCTTGAGGATTTTATCTTCTTCTAGTTTGTTTTGCAGGTTATCGTGAGGTTCGAGGGTCCTGAGCAGCTCTCTACTGTCACCCTCGAGGAAGGCTTTGGCGGCAAGGTTAAGTATGTAGCCGAAGCAACGCACACGACGGCGTGCCTCAGAACCAGCCCCGTCTTCGGCATCGAGGCCCGGCTCAAGCTCCCGAATTAAATGTCCAACACTCGTATCATCATTGTCGGCATTATTGGCCTGAAAGTAATCGACTTCCTCATTACCTATACCGTACTCGGCGAGGACCCTCGTGATGATCGGCGCGAGGTTATCGCTACCGTGCTTCCCCCAGATGCGTGGCACGCCCAGACCACAGTTTATGAGCCTTCCACCGGCATCAACCAAGTGTAGAAAAATCCCGAAGAGGGCGTAGCCATTCGGCTAAGTCTATGCATCGAAGGAAAGGTTCTTTTTGTGCTTACATGCCGTTATTCTTTCACCAAGTTGATCCGCCTGGCTAGCGAATCTTTCCTCTACCTAGGCTTTGATCGTGTTGGCTGACTGGGCAATAGGGTTTCCGTCAACCCGGGCGAAACCAGGGCAAGCATATAGCAAAGAGGATCATGTGGAAAGGAATAGAGTCTTCAATGACCCAGTCCCTCCAAAGCCTCTGCCAGATGCACCGGAATAGGCACAACACTGGGTGATATTGTTGATGCCCCGGAGCGTTGCATATTTAGTACGCTGACGAGCTTCCGCTTCTTGGCTGACGGCTCACATTGCTTTGCAGCGTCATACTTGTCATGTACGGAGCCAAGATGTGAAGCCGCCGACGACGTAGCTGTCGAACAGAAAAGGGTAACATGGTAACAAAGGGCACAAATCTAACTGCAGCTGTCGAGTCGCTCCCCGGCCGGGCTCAAGCCCACAGTAAAGACACCCCACTCGCGAATCCATCATGTTTTTTTTTCTTTTTGTATATCCACACCTCCAACACGTGCCGGACTCCCTCTGCCATTATAAAGGGCTATGTGTTTATGTTCATGTTGTTAGAGAGCCCGCAGCTCTCTACCGCGCGCAGCGCTTCGATGCGGCTCGTGATGGAGGCAGTGCCAGGGAGGAAGCATTCGATGGATTTGGTCGGAAAGAAGTCTTAGGCCGAATTCGAGCTGGGAGAGTTCCGAAGACTGTCGGAAATAGAAAAGGGACTTCCGGGAGGGCTCGTCATCGTGTCGACAGGTCGAAATGGCTTCAATGGCAGTAGAAATGTGGGTTTTCGTAAGTATGGTGGTGTTCAGAAACTTGTTCAGAGGCTGCCAGGCAAATGCGGGATTTTCGCCTAGAAAATCCATTTTTTCCTACGCTGGGAACCCCTGTTGGCACCCCAAACCTAGGAAAAGGGGCCACATAAAATGGCCCCACGTATTCCAGATATATTTACGCATCTACGGCTTCATATTTGTGTTTAAATTTGCTCCTTTTTGCTCTATTTGATTTGCCTATATTTGTATTTGCTTTATTTGCATTACCATATTTGCATTGTTGCGAGTGCTGCTGCGTCTTTCCTGTAGTGGCGGTGGATGGGAACAAGCTTTCGGACTGCATGTGCTGGCTGGTCTTTGTGATGAGTGATGGGAACAAGCTTCAACCCGGGTGGGCCCGCAAAGGACCTTAAAACCAGAAGTTAGACATTAATCCAGCCCCGCTTCATTGAATAAGTAAAAAAACAATACGAGTAGTAGTATTTCACCGGCGCCGAAGCTTCCAACTATTCTACACCACCTATGTCTTTTCACAATGTCAAACTAGAGCCAAGCTCAACAGGGTCTTCTTTCCCCGCTGATTCTGCCAAGCCCGTTCCCTTGGCTGTGGTTTCGCTAGATAATAGATAGGGACAGTGGGAATCTCGTCAATCTATATATGCGCGTCACTAATTAGATGGCGAGGCATTTGGCTACCTTGAAAGCACTTTGTACCCTGCTTTTCAGCGCGCGCGGTTGTTACAGCTTGACTACGTAGCCTGGCTGTTGTCCGGCGGGCTATTGACTTGGGTAGGCTGTGAGGGGGTTGTCGGTTTAGGGAGCTAGAGGAGGCTGTACTGCTCTTTCTCCCGCCGCCCTTCTTATTTCCTTATGATATTGCCAAATCTTCGGCATCTTGCTCTAGTATTGGCTGTACTCCTCTTTCTCCTGCCGCCCTTATTTCCTCATGATGTTTCCAACTCTTCGGTATCCTGCTCTAGTATTGGCTGTACTGCTTTTTCTCCCTGCCTCTCTTCTTATTTCCTTATATGTTTGAGGCTGCTGTGGGGGATTTAGCTGTGAGCAGGTGGTTGGCTGTAAGGAGGAGGTTGTTGGTTTAAGGACTTGGAGGTAGGCTGCACTGTTCTTTCTCCCTGCCGCTCTTCTTTCCTTGTGATGTTTCCTACTCTTGTTCTGGTATTGGCTGTACTGATCTTTCTCCCTCTGTCCTTCTTGTCCTTGTGATGTTTCTAACTCTTTGGCCGCTTTTATTTCCTTGTGATATTCCAACTCTTCGGCCGCCCTTGTTTCTTTATGATGTTTCCCCCTGCCGCTCTTTTTTCCTTGTGATGTTTCCAACTCTTCGTATCTTAATCTGGCATTAGCTGCACTGTTCTTTCCCCGCCGCTCTTATTTCCTTGTGATGTTTCCAACTCTTCTGCTGTACTGTCTTTGTCTCTGTCTTTCTTGCTCTATGTGTTCGAGGGTACCTATCAGGCAGGCTGGGAGGGGTTGTCGGTTGAGGAGCTAGAGGGGACCGGAGTTCCCGTCATCGTTGGCTTCTCCTCGAGCGGTGGGACCCGGAGTTCCCGTCTTCGTTGGCTTCTCCTCGAAGAGGGAGGCGAGCGAGGAGAGAGGCGAGCGAGGCTATAGGAACCTTCCCAATTTAGCTCGTTCTCAACCTAGCTCTCACAGCAGCTGGTACTCCCATAGTAGTTCAGTGGGGTATACATCTTCAACGGAGCTGAGGCATTCTAGAGGGCATAGTCATCGCCGATGTTGATGCCTGTGGCCTGGATTTGGTCTTGGAGCTGTACTTGGATTTGGTCTTAAAGGAGCTGTGCTTGGATTTGGTCTTGGCGTGTATGGGCGGGCTATATGAGCGTAGTGGCTGGGTAGTGGCTGGGCTACTGTGACAGCCCGGTGGTACATTTGTGAATAGAAGAAAAATGAAGAAAAATATAGAGCCCGACTCTGTTGAACTTTTGAACAGTCTGGACGCCGTTGGCTCTTGCCTAGGGGGCCGGTGGCTCCATCTTAGAATTGGACAAGACTGATAGAGAGGAATGGTAACGTGATAAAATTAGTCAAGACTGGCAGAGCGCAATATCCTAAGAAATGGTCAAGACTAATAAAGAAGAATACAAAGGAGACCTGAAGGGATGCTTGACTCACTAACGCGTTGGCTCTTGCCTGCGGTGCGGCGGCTGTTGCCTGCTGTGCTAGCCCGGTGGCACATGTGTTTCCTATCTCCGTTTCTATCTGCTGTTTCCTTATCTGCGTTCCGCTGTTTCCCCCGTCTGATCTGCTGTTCCTACCTGCTGTTCAGCTTCCTGTTACGGCTTCCTGTTACGGCTTCCTGTTACGGCTTCCTGTTACGGCTTTCTGTTACAACTTCCCTCTGATCTTTCCAGCAGGTACCTTCGGCCGCGTCACCCCCGGCAGCCACCCTCAGGCCGCAGTTTTCGTCACTAAAATCTTTTCCCTCCACACACTTTTCATTATTACCTTTAACCCACACTTTTCTTCAGGCTAGTTTTTGTGCACACATTCTTCAGGCCAGTCTTGGTCGATCACTACCTTCAACTCACCTTTTGTCCATCACTACCCTCAACCCACTCTTTTCTTCAGGCCAGTCTTCGTCAATCAGCTGCTTCGCGGTTCTGATCTGCCGTTTGCGCGCTTCACTCTGGTCTGCTGCTTCTGCGGTTCGTCTGCGGTTTGCGCAGTGCACCTTCAGGCCACAGTTTTAGTCCATCATCTCCTGTCTCTGCTGTTTCCACACCCATTCCACCTTCACAGTCTTGGTCCATCATCTGCATTTCTGCGGGTAGCACCTTCAGGCGTCCATTATCTGCTGGAAACAGAACTCTAGGTTTGTCCATCATCCGCGTTTCCGCGCCTTCATATTGATCTGCTGTTCTGCGCCTTCACCCCGATCTGCTGTTTTGCGCCTTCACCCCCGATCTGCTGTTCCCACGGTTTCACCCTCATTTGCCACCTTCCACGGCCTCACACTAATCTACTGCACCCATTCTAGCACCTTCACAGTCTTTGTTAGTCATCTGCGTTTCCGCGGGTAGCACCTTTAGGCCGTATATCATCTGCTGCTTCCAGCACTTCAGGTTCGTCCATCTGCGTTTCCGCGCCTTCACACTAATCTGCTTTTCCGCACTTTCACCCCCATCTACGTCTGCGCCTTCACACTGATCTGCTTTTCCGCGCTTTACCCCCATCTGCGTCCGCAGCTTCACCCCTTCATCACCTTCTGCGGCTTCACACTAATCTACTATTCCTGCAGTCACACCCAGCACCAGACATGGCCTTGTCACCCGCGTCGGCCTTCTTGGCCCCCCCGGAAGAGTTGGCCGTCTTGACGGCCACGCCGAGCAAGGCCCTGCTGCGCCTCATGTGGGGGCTCCAGGGCACCCGCATGCGCGCCATCCAGGTTGCCGATGATCCCGCAGACCCTCTCTCACCCTGCGTGCCCTACTACAACGACCCGTGGTCCGCCAGGTGCCACCCCATCTCTTACGAGCCCGCCACGGTGCCGGCCATAACTACTATAACAGTGCACGAGATGACGCTCAAGCGTTGGAAGCAGTCGTGGCTAGAGTTCCACGACAACCACGACGGCGTCATGGCTTCGGACGCCCAGATGTCCCAGCTCACTACCGAGTTCCCCTACAACCACCTGATCCAGTGCTGCGGCACCGACCGCCCGCCCGCCGTCCAGGGTATAACCGTCCACGCGTCGGGACGCTACCTGAGCGTAGGCGACTACGTCAATACCGTGTACCCCTGGCTTATGAGTATGCGCCCGCAGATCCTCGCCGCCATATACGAGACGCAGCGCTACCCGGTCTCGTCTGGCTCTATGTCGCTACAGATCGACCAGTTCTCGCCCGCGTTCCTCATGGTGTACCTGTCCCTGTCGGACGACCCGACCGAGTCGTACGAGGTCCGGTCGAGCATATCGCGGAGCGTCGGCATTCTGCTCACCAACATCGCCTAGGGGCGACACACCTTCTCGCTCACCGCGCCCTCTCACAACCTCCTGGAGCCCTATATGGAGCCCGCCGGGGACGGCCCCGAGACGGCGTGGCAGTCTGCCGTGCGCATGGCCATGCAGAGCGTGCCAAACGGCACCACCCATGTAGACCCCGACACAGAGACCGACACCAGCCGGACTGGCACGCACTTAGCGAGGGAGAACATGACGAGTAGAGTTTGGGAGATTCTAGGCAGGGGGAGGAGAACATGAGAAGAGAGTCTAGGAAGTCTAGGCAAGGGGAGGAAAACATGAGAAGGAGAGTCTAGGAAGTCTAGGCAGGGAGTCTGAGCAAGGATAGCTAGGTAAGGAGAGAATTGGAGAAGGCGACAAGTGGTTGGGTCGGTGGACCACAGTCGGTGGACGACACTGGTGGACGATACGGGACAACAGTCGTGTCTAGTTTATATATTTGTAATACTAGCCCCTGCCCTTAGGGCGGCTTGTCTTAAGCAGCGGCCATTGCCTCGTTGCTTAGGCTTGTTCACAAGCCTTGCCTCGTTACGTATTTTTCATACTAACCCCTTACCTAGGGCGGCTTCTCAAGCAGCCAGATTGCCTCGTTGCTAGGCTTGTCACTAGCAAGCCTTGCCTCGTTGCTTTTGACGGCTTGTCAGCCTGCCAAATTAATTTCGTCCTTGACCCACCATGCTCAGACACGCCGCCAGACGCGCTCGTTAGACTGTCCCCTTTGTAGACACGCCACCAGATACGCTCGTTGAACTGTCCCCTTTGTAGACACTCTGCCAGACACGCCTGCTGAACTATCAAGTCCTGGGGCCATATCCGGGTTCCATTTTATGGCTCTGGGTGGTTCCAACTCGAGGTTGGATGTAAGGGGCGTTGCTCAACGCTGCCTCGACTTCCATACATATCCCTGGTATGGCATGACCTTGCCTCGACTTCCTCACGTATCTCTAGCATGACTATTTATCGAGTTCCTCTAGTTTATTACCCGAGTCAATAGCCGGAACCAGTACGAGTGCAGGGAATAAGCACGAGGCAAGACTCACCGTGACAACTTACTGTCGAACCAAGACGCGGCAAGCGGGCATCCCGGAAGGTTAGGCCCGATAATATACATCAGCCGGATTCAGCATCAGGAATTCGGCACGGCTATATTTGACAGGTCAGTCGAATGTTTAAAGCTTTGTGGTGATAATTCCACGCGTTAGAATTTTGTCTTCTTCGTAATCGAACGCGTGGTGCAATTACAGAGCCAAGTGGATTACTGGTGCCATAAAAATCAGAGCGAGAAGGACCCTCGGAAGCGTATGCCCGCCGCCGACCTGCTATAACCGAGTGACTGGCACCCACTTTCCCTTGTTTTGTCTATTCTTGGACCTTTTAAGAAGATCACAAATCTTTCAAGAAGATCACAAAGTGGTTTGAAGGGCGCGTGGCTACCTTTCCTAAAGTCTTCGCTATGCAGGAGTGGCTAATCAATCTTCTTAAGGATCGCCTAATCGATCTGCTTAAGAATCGCCTAATCGATCTGCTTACGGATCGCCTTCGAACTCTGCACCTAAACGTTGAAGCTGTCACCGATTTTACCAGCGGCCCGGTATACACCTAGGGCATAAAGAGAAGTAGGCAACCTAGTTCCTGGGCGGTGGGCGGGCCGAAAAAGCGATGAGGCCTTCCGGGATCTCTACCAGGCCGAGTACGCCGTCATCCCTCTCTCGGTGCCGGTTTGTACGCCTTGTGAGGACCCGTCCACCAAACTGGCCCTCAAGCAGCCAGAGCCGCCCAGAACCCCGGGCCTATCAGAAGCCGCCTCGAGGCCCCACCTACCCCACTGATAGATGAAAACTTATTCGCGAGCACGCGACGCGTTGTTGGACTTTTCCTTCCTTCCCTCCTCAGTTTAGAATCTTCGTCGATAGCACCCAATGGACTGAGTTCACCTCAATGCCTTGCCCTGGTCGTGACACGCCTCACGAAGGTTGAGGGAGTCGTCTTATTACTCACGACTACCATAATGGCCCTGATGACCACAACCAGAAGGATGAACTAGCTGAATACCTTTAGGCTGCGTTTGGTTGTGTGTGTAAGGATCGGTAAAAAGCCCACTTTCTTAGGTTTAAGAAGACCGTTACCGGACCCCCTTCATATCCTCCGGTAGGCTAATTTACTAGGGAGGAAGATAACAAGGTTTTCTCTCCCCGTTACCCTACTGGACTTCTATTTGGTTGAAGAAGGCTCGGTAATGCCGGCGAACTAAGCTAAATCAAGCTAATCAATTAGCGCGCATATTTTGAAGCCTTTTCGTGATGCCTGCAATGCCCTGTAATCCTCAAATCGTAGTGTTGTATTTGTTCATCTATGCAGCTGCCGGCGTGGCGATTCGGGTCCGGAATTCAGGCAGTTATGTTGTGTCCGACTTTGTGTATTAAATACTAGTATAAAAGTAAATAATCTATGCCTCTGTTATCCCTTGCGCTTGATCAACAAATGAAGCCCTGCCTTGCACATTGAAACCATCACAATATGCCTCACCGCTGAGCTACCAGTAACTTGACCCCGGGCAATGTGCCTAGGATTGATTTGACAAGTTCATCGCATATATCTTTCCGCCCGGGACTCAAGATTGAAAGGAGGTTCGTGAAATCGAAGAGTGAGAGGCTCGCGAGGAAGCTATTGAGAAAAGAAGGGCGAAGGTCAAAGGAAAGCTTTCTTCTCCCGACGACTTAAGTGCGGACCTTGAAGATGACAATTCGGTGATGGCTTCAAGGTCCCGGGCGGAGAGAGAGTTCGAGGATAATTATTTCGAGGACATGGCTGTACCGTTGGGTCGGAAGAGGTAGTCAGGAGCTTTGTTGGTGTATTTTTTCGTTTGGAATGCGGTCTTTCATGCTGTTCTTTATCTCGAGGCTCTAAGACTATGAGGAGAGAGCCCCTACATTAGTTAGATAATTAGAAAATGCCTAACGTGGTTTATCACCAAGCGGGCCACCCCACCGAGCGGGTCACTCTTCCTCGACTCCATGACTTCTAGACTTAATTACAACCCCACCACAATAAAAATTCAATCGGAATCTATCTCGTTGTCTTCACCCGATAGTTCTTCATCCACGGGACAGGTTTGTACATTATGCCCAGGCTTTCCGCATCGTCCACAGCACCGAATAGTCGCCGGCCTTGCCTGCGACGGACCCCTATCCTCGTCCTCTTTGCTCTTTTTCTGGCGACTAGAATCTATTTTGGCTATCAAACCGCGCGCATCTTCTACAGAAAGTGCACCGCCTTCTTAGAGTCTCGTGCGCTTAGCTCGCCGGCGCTTTGCAAGGGCCTGATTGGCCTTCTGAGTCGTACGGAGCTCTGCCCGCAAGAGTGTCATCTTGTACGCGATTGCCTCCGTACCCTTTGCTAACTGCTTAATATCTAGCTTCGATAAGACGGCTTCTGGGTCGAATGGCACGAATCCAGCACCGCGGAATCTAGCTATAATGTTATTAGGCGTTATAGTGTCGTAGTGGGCGGCGATAAAGGCGATCAAGAACTCGGGCTTAGTAATATGGTTGATATGAGCTCTAATGGAGTCTCTAAGTTGCTTGCCGTACGACCGTTTCAAGGCGCTAAAACAACCAATATCGAGAGGCTAGGTAAGGTGCGAAGAATGTGCAGGGAGACAGAGAGTAATGATGTTCTTCTCCTTGCAGTATTGCTCAAACTCGTACGAAAGATGGCTTTCATGACTGTCTAAAATAATCATGCGATAACCACCCTTCTGTGAGGACCTGTCCACCAAACTGGCCCTCAAGCAGCCAGAGCCGCCCAGAACCCCGGGCCTATCAGAAGCCGCCTCGAGGCCCCACCTACCCCACTGATAGATGAAAACTTATTCGCGAGCACGCGACGCGTCGTTGGACTTTTCCTTCTTTCCTTCCTCAGTTTAGAATCTTCGTCGATAGCACCCAATGGACTGAGTTCACCTCAATGCCTTGCCCTGGTCGTGACACCTTCTGCCAGGAAGAGTATGCTTATCAAAGTGCCGAATCCAATCCATAGCCGTTTTATTATCAATCCAGCCGTTAGAGGAGGGCTTGATAACCCAGGAGGCTGGGAGATCGGTGTCTTCGTACCATGATTTGAGGTGGTTTTTGCCTTGTATGATGAGAAATGGCGGTACCACAAAGCCGTCGCTACTCACGCACTCAATTGCTGTCGCCCATTCTCAATTACCTGGCTGTAGTTGCTTGCCTCGTCCGCGACGGTCTACACGTGTAACGACCATTGCAGCGCAAATAACGCCCATCATAAAGCCAGTCTCGTCGAAGTTGTAGAAATCGCAGCCTTTGTTACGATCCTGGTTCAAAGGTGCAGAGGGCGTTGCCCGCCCGCTGCGGATTGGCTGGAACGGCACTTAGGGTGGGGCTCTCGCTAAGAGAAGGTGCATCTAATTAGGGAGCGCTCAGTGGGGCCACTGCCAAGGTGCACTGAGCATGGCTGAGCTCAGTAGGATCAGTGCCGAGACCCACTGAGCGCACTGAGCAGGGAGCTCAGTGGGGATCAGTGCGTCTAGGACTGAGCACGACTGAGCATGTAAGGCAGGAACTCTGATTGGTTGCTCATAGTTCTATATAGGAGCTGGCAGCACGCTCTCTCTAAAGAACGGTTCTGCAGCTATCAATGCATCTGGTTAAGCATACATTGGTTGTGTGTTGAAAGCCTGTCTTTCGCAATCTGTGCACGATACTCCTTGTCTCCTGTCATCTCCTACCTGCCGTCCAGACCCCCACAATCCTAGGCCGGGCCTAGCTCCGTGGACCTGTTGTCCAGATTGTAACACCTGGCCACACAGCAGCCGCCGCAACACGACGCCAAGACACCACGCTCACACGACAGCCCGCTCAACAACCGCCCGCGTATTACAAACCACTCGACTGTTAGGGTCGTCTGTCTGTAAGGGAGCACGGGCTCCACAGAATGCTGGGGTTGGTAATTATGAAGATAGAACAACG